TTTACGAATTTCGTAAATGCACATTGCTAAATCCAAGTTTTATACTACTCATTAATTTTCATGTTCGAAGGATTCGCAAATGCGAAGTGTATGATAAAATTAGACAATTCGTAAATGCACCTTGCAGGGCGTGGACGAATCACAGGAATTTCAAAAACTAGATGTTACTGTTAATTCACAGCGTTTTACGAATTCGCAAATGCACTTCGCTGTTGACGCATGAATTCACAGAAAGCGGATAGGCCAAATTGCTAGGCGTATGTGCGATTTCGTAAGAAGTAGTGGGTAGACTGTGTCTGTTTTACTAATTGCACATTGCAATTACTTCGAACGTTAAAAGTGCAAAGTTGCAGTAGCTATGCGAACTATCAAAAGTCTTTACTTCTACATCGAGAAATCTGCAAATTGCTTGTTCTTTGTACTTTGCAAACAATTCGTATGAAAATGTGTGAATTCGTAAATGGGCAGCTACGATAATTATCCGAAGTTGAAGAAAGTTTCTCTCTCTCTATATCTCTATAATATGTTTAATTACATGGCACATGTCATCATAAAAAACAAATAATGGAATGTGTGAATTTGCAGAATTTAATACGAAGTATCTGCAATGTGCAAAGTGCAAGCAGTTTGCAGATTTCCCGAGCGTTAGGGAAACTTTCGTTCACTTCCGATATTTGTTATGCGTAGTCATGTGTGAATTCGCAGAATTTAATAAGAAATAACTGCAAGGTGCAAGCAATACGCACATTTTTGCAACTGGAGGGAAACCTTCTTCCACTTCCGATATTTATCATGCGTAGTCCTGTGGGTTCTAGTTTAGCTTGGTGAACGATTCGGTCTTGCACATAGTTGGATTCATATTCTACAGTAATGGTTTCCAAAGTGATCATTTTTACATTGCTCCGAGTTGACACATAATTTTTGCTTTCTTTTTTTAAGAAATTACATAGTTCGGCGAATTCGGTCTTGCACATCGTTGTTTTAAATTTGGTAGCGACGATGTGCAAAACTGCACATTGCCACCATTGTTGAATTGACATCTAAACAGGTCAGCGAGTCTTGCCGAATTCGTGTCTGCACATTGATGAGCATGTTTTCAACAATGTACAATTCGCCATCACTTCGGAAATGCAGATTGTTGAGACAGAAAAAGATGTTGAATAGTTTCTAAATGCAATTCGTTCCTCGATACACTTCGCAGATGTTATATATTTACACACTGCTCGAAGTACCGGTTAATTGCAGCGAAGTACAATTCGCACGGGAAAACGCAATCTGCGAATTCGTGTCTGAACACCTTGGCCGCACCACTCATGACCATGGGCTACCAGTGTGGCGAGTTTGAAGTCAAAATTCAAAAGTCGGATTTTGTCCGAAATCCAAGCGCTATAGGTAAAAGCTGAGTAAAGCTTCAATATCTCAGCAACAAAGCACCACGGGGATGAACCAACTTAGAGTATTTCACTACTCACTGAGGTCTACAAGATACAAGTACTACGGTTTCAAAAGCGATTTATAACCTAAAGAGGTTCCCTCGTGAGATAGTTTTAATCAATTTCGATAAAAAAGACTTTTTGCGAGTTTTCTGGGAAAACGGTTCTCAAAAGATACTCTGAAAACCTTCTAGAAGTCCCAGTTCTATGTCTGTTGAATTTGAAACAGTTTTTCATCTATATATGTAATTTGACTGCCCTTGTCCATGACCGTACCACAATCATAACCGAACATCATCAACCTAGTTTATGGTCTTTGCGGACTCATAGTTTAATGTCATTGCGGACGAAAACTATTGAAGAGGATTTTCACCGAAAGCTGAGTTTGGTGAAAAATGATTTGATTCAGAACCAGCCGAAAGACACACCATTCGATGCAGTTTCTCGCGCTGATCTCTGAAAGTTTCAACAAAATTGGAGCTGCGGAAACATGTGGCACTCTACTTTACGCAAGACAGGTTTTGGATAAACCTGTAGTGGAGAAAGGAACCAAAACAAAATCTTTCGCTTTATTTAATCGGCCATGAGCCAAAGTATACTCTACGTTAGTCAAACCATCAAAAATCTCACTTTCATTTTTTCACCTGATGTCCACGTTGTTCCCCACTGTGTAGTGAGACCTCGAAAGGGTGGTGAGAATGGTTGAAATGACGGTTTGACAAACTTCTATATGTTTTGATCATGTGGCATCCAAGTCAGTTTGTTATTCTCTACTTTATTCTGATATTTTATTTTTTCTTCAACAAACATTTTTTTCCAGTAGACAAACTCATCGTGGTCACTTAATATATGGCTTGTTCTATACTTTCTTTTTCGTCTATTTACTGTTCTTAGTAGAGTGACTAGATAAGGTGGCCAAGGGTGGTCTATATTTCTTAATTTGTTTGTATTCACTAAATGTATCCCACAACGAAGAAAGAAATGAAGAAAGTTGATGGAAAATAAACTATTCGTCGGTATTGGAATACAACTGTATTCCAATATGTAAAGACACATTCAAGAAAGAAAGAAAATATTTTCCAATTTGTTTTTCGGATTCAGTATATAGCAAAGCAAAACTGGAGAAGAAACAAGAGTTGTTTACAATCGATAGTAGCAATATGTTTCTTTTAGTAGGAAAATACACCTATAAGTGAAAAGGAAAGAGAATGGAAGAAAAATTAAAACAACCGAACACAGATATATGACGTCTCACAGAATTTTGCGGTTACAGAATAGTCACACCCTGGACTATAGAGTGTGCGTATCATAGACAATTCCAGTGCTGAATAATGTGTTCTTTTCTACACATGAGATATCATATAATATGCTTTTCTGCTACCCTCCAAATCTAATGCGTCCTGGATAGAATAATTGAACAGAGAGGAATCGGACGATCATTATTTATAGAAAGAAGAAATAAAGAAAAACATTTGATATGAAGATAAACTTTTCTATACTATCTATTGTCGTATTTCAAGTCAGTTCACTCTTCTTTCACTGAAAACATCAACGAGAAATGGTCGATTTTTAACAATTACTCATTATGAGGTAATAGTATTACTAGAAGCTGCAAATTACGTCTTCATTTAGCAATTTCAGAAAAGTTAAGAGCTATGTGTATATGAAAAGCTACCATCTGAGCAAAGTTCTGAGAAAAAATGCTAAACATTTGATAGAGTGAGTTGGTGGATCAGTCATTAACCTATCATTCTAACGAGATCTGGTTTATATCTAGGTTGTGACTTGTTTGCTAGCACTCAACAATAATAATCAGTAATCACTGGGTTGATTATTATGATCCATTCCGAAATATAGGGCTGAATATTCTTTTGAATAGTTTCCCCATCGAAATAGGGCGGACATAATTAAAGGGCTTAGATGGGACCGTGGAACAGCAGAATAGTAGACCTCTGAAAAGCTTTAGTACTGATGTGTACTGCACTATAGACACTCAGAATAGAAACTGAAGATGAGAAGCGAATCAGGTTGAAAGGTTTTCACTAGGTTCTAGACTTATCCATAAAAGAAATATGGACAGGAGACTTTGAAGAATTCTTTTTGCCTTTACGAAAGGAATCTCAAGTGATAAATCGTTTTCTGGTTGAGTCGTACTTAGTCATGGGTATTCTTCGATGTTGATCTCGAATGTGATATTTCTTTGTCCTATTCCGTGTTTGTACTGTGGACTGTACAGAATATCTGATTTCTAGAGACCTGTCTGGAAAGCCAAGATGGAGAGCTTTTAATCTATATAGATTGTAGAGCGTGTCAAATCGCTTATAGAAGAGAATTTGGATCTGACATATGAGTTTGGGCTAAGATACAAGGTTATCATGAATCAGAGTACCGATACTACTTTCCTAGTTCTCGTAGAATTGTTAGTAAAAATTTCCAGATATTCAGAGATCCATGATAAAAACACGTAATAGCACAAAGGGATATCAAATTCGAGATCACCATCAAAAAATACTCATGATTAAGTAGAACTCAATGAAAAAATGAATTATCGCTTGATATTGGCCCTCCAATAGTATGATTATTTGTGAAACCTTTTTGATATTTAAAACCATTGAGGTCGGTCATTTCAGTTTATTTTGCTTGGCGTTTCCTTTGTGCTATATAATGTAACTTGGTGAATTTTTTCTAGCTGATATATAGAGAACTGGGCTTCACTTAGAGCATGAGATGTATCATTTCTCGCATGCTGAAAATTTTTATGCTTTCATTCTTTTTAGTAATTTGCTCTGTCTGCCTGATTTAGTCATATTTGAAATCTTTGGCTATCTGAAGCCAGTGGATATCGTTCGGGCTTTCCTTCATATTAATTATCGGTGGACCGAATTAGTAAAAGAAAAACGATTGATTCACCACATTAATTACCTATCAGATGCTTCCTTGCGAACATTTCATTCTTTGTGCGATTGCATTCTTTCCAGTATTGCTATCAATAATTTAGACGATGTTTATTCGCTGACATTGAACGGCAAGCAATGGCAATCAATTATAGAACACAAAAGCAAGCTTAAAATATTAAAAAACTTAAAAGCATTAAAATTAGTATCATCTCCTTGTAGTGAACATGATTTAAAATATTGTCTAGCAACGTGTGACAATTTGATTGATCTGACAATAGAAACATATAAAGGCAACTGTTTTCCTTTTATGACAACTACAACAAACGTCGAGAAGTTTGAAGATATGAGGGTATCCATGCTTTCGCAATTGACTGACAAGACATACAACCTTCGACGATTGACATTGACAGTTGAACGGTTCAGTCTTCTTTGTCGTCTGTTTGATTGTTTACCTTTAATCGAGCATGTCAATATTGAACAACAATTTCCCTATGTTTGCGATAACGATGAACGTACAATTCTGTCTTCGTATAATTATCATAATCTAGTTCGACTCATCAGCTTTGAATTAATAATCAATTGTCAGTCATTTGATTACACTCTCTTCCACACAATAATAACAGATATGAAATATTTAACATCTCTGTCATTTGATTATGGAATATATGAAAGTGATATCAATGGTTATCAGTTACAATCAACATTATCATCATTGATCAATTTGAGTCAGCTAAATTTTCGTTTAATTATTCGCAATTACCTTGATAATGATGAACACTTATATTCTTCGTTTCAAACTGATTACTGGCATTCTTTAAATATTTGTTGTCATTTTGATTTTGTCGATCAAAAGTATTATATTTACACTCGTCCATGGACACCGACAATGACATTTGCTATGACCTATGAGACAACATTGAATATGATTCCCAATGACTTCGGCCGTGTTCGTAAATATAATCAAATGCGTGGCTCAACAGCCGTAGTATTCAAGTATTTTCCGAATTTATATGAACTTTTCATCAACGAAAATGCCCTGTTAGGTGACATGCATTTTCGATTGAATATGAAATATCTAAAAAGTCTCTGGTTCACTGGACTATCATCTACATCTTCCACTGAAATAATCATATCGCACTTACGTTGGATTCTATTACGGGCTCCGAATTTGAAAATTCTTAACGTTGACTTTGACTATCTCGTTAATTGTTTGAACGTTGATCATCATTCATATCAGATCATAACATTACATTTGATAGGATGTAGATTTGATGTTGCTGAAAAGTTTACATTAATCCAGCCTTGTTTTCCAGTATTAGAAATTTTATCTCTAAAATCATCTAGATTACAACCAATTGATGATGTTACGAAATCACTTACTTATCAAACAATTCGTAAATGCTTTTTGGAGTTCGATCAATTAATTTCGATTAAATATTCAGATAAGTTTGACGGCTCGATAACCAATAGTTACGACTCGATAATCAATAGTTACGACTCGATAACCAATAGTTACGACTCGATAACCAATAATGACGAGGTGTTATCGTTTCTTTACAATAACTTGATAAACGATTACAAAAATGTTCAATTGAATTTAAGTGGTGATCGGTTGTCAGTATGGAGATACTGAACATTGGTCTAGTTAAAAAGTCTACAATACGTCGCATTCTCTTAAAGGGCTCGCCGTGACTTCGACCACGATACATCGAAAAAAGCTTGTGTTTCAAGATTACAAGTTCAGAATAAAAGTATGACTCTTAAAGTAAACTCTTCCAAGAATCAAAAATAAACTTTACTTTTCGATCTTTTTATTGGTACTTATTAACTCTAATCCACTAGAAAACTACACTTTTTCCACGGTGAATAGAATAACGAGAAATTTTATATCTGTACAAGGCAAAAACCGCATAGATTGTAGCTAGATTAGAGAAAAAGTTAAAATCAAATTATAAAATTTATGGTGCCGGCATATTCATTTAATTTAATGCACATAAAATTTCTCGTTATTCTATTCACTGTGCAAAAAGTGTTTAGTTTTCTAATGCATTAGATAGTGTTGTATAGGCGTCTACACGTAAAATAAAGATTAAATAAGATCATATTTTATGGACCGATCAATCACAAGAAGGTTTATGTTAGAGCATGAAAGGGAATCACAGAATAAGTGATACAATGGAATGGTTCAAGAGGAGTACTCTCATATTCTTCAAATGCGCATTGTCGAATTGTAAATTTGATCTAATGTACGTCAAATTTATGACATTAATGAATAACAGTATCTTGCCATTGAAGTGGACTTGCTTCGTTTAACGCTTCACTTTCAGCTAAACTTTTATTCAATGTTCTGTTAAATCGATCTTAAACGAGAACAATATGTAATAATCATTTATAACTAGCTTAATCATTTACATGTTCAATAATTTTCGATGGTACATCGACTATAAGAGAAAAAAACAAACAAAATTCGAATATACTAATGATGGGAGCATCTTTCTTTTTTAAACTATATTTATTTGCTAAATTTATCATATCGATCACACATCAAAAGAGAGCTAAGCTCTTAGCTCTCGAACTAAGAGATTACCGAATTAAAAATGCTAGTGTTCTTTCTTGAATTAAAAGAAATATACATTATTGACCTAACGGCCAAGGAAAAAAAGTGCTTCCTTTCGTGATCATATATACAATAGTATTATCAGTGTCTCGATATCAGATATTAGATCAATGCAACTTCGTGAAAGACTGACTGGTTTTTGAGAAAGTACTATTAATCATGTTTCAATTTGGATCAAAAACTTATTCTTGTTATGTTCAAGAAGTAATTACCAAATACCTGTCATATGCCGATGCATTGATTTCTGTCCGAGTTTAGGGTTATGCGTCTGAAATTTCAATCCTCAAAATCGAATCATTTATTATTTTACAAAAGCGTAGTGCCGTTTTGGACGACAATTGAAAATGATGTGAAATTTAGGTTAAGAAAAAGATGGCTGAGAAACTACACTAGGAGTACTTTAGTTCCACTAAAATTTTTTTTATTACTATTTTTCAAGAAAAGGACTTTCTTACACGATACTTCTACATTGTTTGAGAAGTGCATAGCACGTTCCGATTTTTCGGAAACGCAGAAAAAGACGCTCAGCGATTTCTTAGTGACGATGTCTCCCTCGGTGTATTACCAGCGCCGTGGCAAGAGAAAAAAGTAGGAGGATGTACATTTTTTTTGAGAAACCCATAGAAGTAGGAGAATACAATATCATCTATCATCATAATTTCAACATGATAACCAAATGATAATGGTGATAGAGTAGACTGGGGTAATTATAACCAGGCACAAACTTTTTCTCAGCATTTTGCGAATGGTAAAGCCATTTCTAGTCGGAGAAAAATGCTATTACGCAGGTAGATACATGTGACTTCCAACTATCCACTGATGTGAAAATTGTCTGAAAATTCGTTACTGTTAATTAGTGCCATTCAATTTCTAGTGCGTTGCTCTTTACTGGTTATAATTCCCCTATTAGGGGTAATTATAACCATTACATCAAAAATGGCTGGGACGATATAAATCAACTTTGATTCAACAGAGAACTTCTACGTTTTCAATGAAAAATTAGCCGACCTTGTAAAGAATTTCGAACTTATCTACCTGATGAATTGTCAGTCAATCGGCTTTAATATTAGTTATTTAATGAGAAATCAGTAAAATCAAAAGAAACAGTCATTTTTTCTCGATATACGCGGACTGGGGTAATTAAAACGTTCAGACTATCAGATTCTTCAGGATCTCATCTTTCTGCCACAGAAATCTGCACACAAAATGACTGAAAATAGACTATCGTATTTATATAACGGTAGATATAACCTTATATCTACCGTCATCATGTTTTATATAAAAATAGGATAAGAGGTAACGGTTGCTCTATCAAACGATGGTAAAATGTGTTTTCCAAAATTTAGGCATTTTAGGAAAATCCAGTTTGTTCAACTAAGGTTTTCCATAAAACGGTTTTCAAAACACTTGTTCGAAGCGGGTTTCTGTTCCGTATCGGAAGGCCGGGACATTTTTGATTATATCTAGGTGGTTTTGGAGGTTTCCATACCAAATCCAAGGAGAAAAAACCTGTTTTTAATGAACCAGGTTGTTGACGCCATCTGTCAGTAAAATCGATTTTTTTCGATCAAAACTTAACTATTTTCCAGTTTTGACCTGATATTCAAGACCAACATCAAATTCTGCATCGAATTAAGTATCTTTAGAAAAATTCTGAGTAAAAACGTTTTTCGATGTTCCAAAGGTGGGATAGGGGCTACAAATTTTCTGGAAAATTGAAAATGGTTTTTCCAAGGTGCCATATACCTCATTCGACGCAGAATTCCACGCTGATTCTGAATATATAACTGTTGTTCAGAAATATCAAGGGAAAATTTTGACCTTTATAAGCCCCCGTCCTTTTTGAATCTTCATGCATTTATAACATGTGTATTCAGTATAACTACTATTACAATAGTAGTTATACTGAATACATCCATGCATTGGAATGCATGGAACAAAAAAGACACTAACACGATTAGCGGTTCAATTATTAAGAAAAACAGGAATATGTCAGTTTGGATAGGATCGACGAGTTGAGTTGATCAAAGCTTTTCTTTACACTTCTGTTTCAGGAATGAGCGGATGCGTTGAGTGTGAAGAGTACAATAGCTCAGAATAAATCCGAAAAATAGAAGAATATAGGGGAAATAGTGGGAAGCTTCAACGTTTCCAGTCCAACAAATAGTTTTTCAATTTTAGTCCGTTATAATTTGTGATACACAATAAGAGAAAATGACCATTCTGTAGACCTTGAAAAGCTCTATCAACTGGCTATATTTAAAACTTTTATCATCACGACTGGTTGTGGAAGAATGTATTTTCTCTTATCGACTTTATCAAAAAGCATCGGCTTAAACTCCAGTTTTGGAGCATACAAGAAAACTTTTATAAATCGGTGAAAATCAAACATTTCCAGGTCGGGGTTGTCTTCTCATAAAACAAAATAATTCTTCTCTTAGAACCGAACAGAAAACGTTCACAAGCTGCATTTTTTTTCTGTGTCAGAGCGAACAAGTTAAAATTTTCCTTTTTTTGGTGGATTTAATAAAATCGTCGTTGTGTCAGAAAACGTGTTTCAAACTAGCCTATGATAGTATCAGAACATACATTTTGATTTCAGGTTTTATATTATTCCAATATTGTTGTTTAGCATGTCTTATATGTTCCTTGAATAGTTGTTCTTATTGTATTACTTATTATAACTTTGTGATGCTGGATAAAAAATCGAGAGATTCTGTGCAAAGATTTAAAATTTTCAAGCACTCTACTATTTATAATTTTCGATATACTGCTGTAAAGGATTGCAACAGATTACTAGCGACACTGGAATATTTAAAGTTGTATTTGGAAAAAATATATCCTAGGAAAATGTTTTTACTTTATCTGAGTAAGAGTGTGAAACAAAACGGTGCTTCAAGATTTATCAAGATTTTGGTACAGAAACTCAAGGAATTTCAAGATGCTCAAGATCTTCTCACGCTTTTTATAAGGTATACGTAAAAAGAAGTAGCATTATTTTCTTTCTTAAAAATTTATACATGGTTGAATTGAGCTCTCCGACCTGAACTAGATTAAGGTGTCGGTAATTCAAAACTTAAGCAAAATTTATTTTTCACATGTTTATACATGTTTAGATAGAGCTCGTCGAGTTGAACAAGAATATGTGTGTTAACCTTTCGAATCAAAATTTTAATGTTGAAAATATAAAAAAACGAAAATTTGAAAAACGGCTAATTTTTTAAAAGCGAGCGTAGAGTTCGAACACAATGCGTTTGGAAACCTTGGACGCTTTTTATTCTTGTTCTCCGTAAAAAACTGAACCTGAAAAATAATATTCATGTTGACGCAAAAAGCTTCAGTTATTATTTTACTTACCCTAATAGTATGAAAAAAGTTACGTATCGGTTCTGCAAAATATTGTTCTGTTGTTGAGAAAATAAATGCTTTTGAAACTAGTAAAAAAAAAACCGCTTGTATTTGGCAAGTTTTTACCGTCAAACTTGGGTATTGCTAAAAGACGCGAACACCCACGAACACCCCCTAATTAAAATCTGAGTTAGCCAATCGATAGAGCTCGTCGAGCTGAGTATAGCAACGTCTAACGAACACTCAAAAAACTTTTTATAGTTTCGCTTTTTAAGCATACATTTTGAATGAACACCCACGAACATCCACGAACACCTACGAACACCCAAAGAACACTCACGAACACAAAGAAGAAAGGTTAAGAACACCCAAAAAAGTGCGCCAAATTCATCTTCAGGTTATTCTGGCCTGAGGGTGTGGTGCGGATGTGGGGTGAGGGTGAGGTACTGGTAGGCTCACCCACACCACACCCTCGGGCCAGAATAACCTGAAGATGAATCTGGCGCACTTTTTTGGGTGTTCTTAACCTTTCTTCTTTGTGTTCGTGAGTGTTCGTGGGTGTTCTTTGGGTGTTCGTAGGTGTTCGTGGGTGTTCGTGGGTGTTCATTCAAAATGTATGCTTAAAAAGCGAAACTATAAAAAGTTTTTTGGGTGTTCGTTAGACGTTG